CCCTAGGAGGCTAGCAGTAGGTGGGGAAGAAGTGGAAATGCCCAGGAGTGGCTCCAGGGACTGCCAAGACCCATATGTGAAACATTCCCCATGGGGTTTCCCAAGTGTGAATAAGGAATGTATGTAGAGAGAAGTTCTCCATAGAGAAGTAGAGAATTTGTAGGTTCCATGAGTATAGTCCTGTGACAGAACTCTGTGTCTGTGCATGTGTGGAGGGGCTGGTTCTCACCAGGAGGGCAGCTTCTAGACACAGGGCTCACAGCCTAGGCAAGGCACGGGCAGACTACAGTGCCTCTGATATGCCTAGAAGAAACACCAGAACAAAAGGGATCATGAGAACCAGGACATGGTTATCTTTGTGGTTATCTTCATCATTGTAGTCCATCTCCTCACCTCCATGTTTCAACAATGTATAAGTTCCTGAAGCCTTGAAGTTTTTCCAGGAGAATCCTCAGAACAACTGAAGCAGAATTTCTCATCAGTTTTGCAGGAAAGTAGCTAGGGATAGAACATGTTGATGGATAGAAATTGAGAAGATGCGACATTTCTCACACTCTTGAGTTTATGAATGAGACTCCTATTGACTACTGATCCAAAGTGATGTATTCCAGGGGACAATAAATAGATCTGCTCTCTTGGAGTGGAGACTTCATGTAGGGAAAAAAAGGGGTTGAGGATGTAAAAGTAAATCAGAGATTGATAGTAAAGGGTTTTGGATACCATGAAAGAATTTGGATTTTATTCTGTAGCCATGGACAGGCATTTGAGCCTTGTCTTGAGCCCAATGCAGACAGAAGCCTTTTCCTCTATACAGGAGTTAGTAGCTTGCCAGAGCTCCATGTTCTCAATAAGGAGGTTCAGTACAGTGACACGGAATATTTATTTTGAAATTTAAGTGTTATGGCGAAATAAGAACATGGAAAATGCTCAGCATCATTAGCCATTAGGGAAATGCTATATCACATAACCACAATGTTGCTATTTTCCACTTACTAGAATGACGATAATAAAAAAGACAAATAATAAATGTCAGTGAGGATGTGGAGAAATTGGAATTCTCATACGTTGCTGGTGGGCTGTGACATGTTGCAGCTGCTTTGGCAAATTTTGGTGGTTTCTCAAAAAGTTAAACACACAGTTACCACATGACTCAGCAATTTCATTCCTAAATGACCACCTAAGAGAAATGGAAACTTGTAAATGAAATATTTCTAGGAGCACTATTCATAGTAGCTAAAACGTGGAAGCAACCTAAATGTCCATCAACTGATGAGTGGATAAACAAAATGTGGTCTATCTATACAATGGAGTTTTATTCACCCACAAAAATGAATGAAGTACTGATTCCTGCTACAACATAGATGAGCCTGATATCATGCTAGATGAAAGAAGCTGGCAGAAAGACCATATATTATTTGATGCCATTTATAGGAAATGTCCAGAATAGACAAATCTAGAGATAAAAAGTAGATTCGTGGATGGCAGGAGCTGAGGGGAGGGTGGATTTGGTACTGACTATTAATGAGTTCTCTTTGGGGTGACGGAAACGTTCTGGAATTGGATTGTGGTGATGGTTGCATCATCTTGTGAAAGTACTGAAATGCACGGAATAATACACCTTAGAGAATTTTAAAAGTGTTATGGTCAGCAGGGACCTCACAAACCCTCCTTTCAGAATATGTGATAGACAAGCCAATTGTCTAGGTTCATCTGGGACTGAGGAGGTTCTTGAGATGTGCGACTGTCACTACTGAGACTGGGAAGTCCCAGTCAAACCAAGATGACTTGTGTGTGCTGAGGCTGTGTTCAAGAATGACAATGAAGCTAGGCCAAGTTCACATTTAACAGAGCAATTTTTTATTCACAATGCATTTGGCCCTATTACCTTGTGAAGTAGTTACAGCCGCTTTTCCTTATTTCCTGTTTACAGACAAGAAACTGAGGCTAATAGGCTTAGATATTTGCTTAAGGTTGTAGGGAAAATAAATGACAGAATTGGAAGTCCAGTCTGATCCTTGACTTGAGCCCAGGCTCTTTCCTACATGTGGGTAATCATTTGTACATAAAAGTGGTGCTGGTAAACGTGTTGCTCACTCACCCCATAAATGCTGGCCTTTCATTTCAATGGTGCTCCCTCCTCTCTTCTTCCCACTCCCAGAGGCTGCATCCTGTGGGACCTGTCTGGACAGTGATGGCATTCAGCATCATTGCTAATTCCTCTGAAATCATTCCTATTCCTCTGAAATCTCTGGGGGCAGGGACTGTGTCTTAGTCATCTCTGTTCTTGACTCATATTACCTTTCCTGATATGTAGTTGGTACTCAATAACCCCTCTGCTGAAGGAAGTCTGGCTTCTGTTCCAAAGAATAAACAGGAATGAATCTCAGATAAGAAAAACTACTGCTACTCATCTCTGTTACCCAACTACTGTTCCCATCTCTTAAGGCTGAATTATTCTCCCGTTAGGCCCTTCTTAAACCTCATTTTCTGAATTGTTTGATGGTGGAGCTGGCGCCGTCTGTCTGTTGCTTTTCAAAATGTGTTGTAAGCACACTCCAAAGATCAAGCCAAGCCAAGATTTCTGCAGAGATTTTGCATGGTGTGGCCTTTGTCTGCGGCTGGCCACCTCAGACAAAGTGCAGTTGTGCCCAAGTGAGTGGATAAGGAGACAGTTTTCTTGAGTTTGAGAGATTCCATGGCTATCATGACAAAGGGCTTTGTGTGTACAGGGCCATGCACTCCAGCAAAGTCTTATGGGAAGATCTAAGAAGTAGAGGCACAAGCCTTCCATCCTGGTCCATCTTCTGGGAAGTTATGTAAATATCCTGGGCCTCAGAGAGTTGCGTTGCCTTTCTGATGGGGATAATTACAATTTCCCTAACTTCCTTCATAGGGTTTTTGTTTATTTCAGATTAGATCATTGATTGATGGTTTCTCAACTGAGTTCCATAGAGGCTTAAGATTTTACAGAGGTTCCTCAGGAAGAGAGATGCCACTTCAATCTGTTTATTTACTTTCTACATTGTGATGCTGTGGGCATTATTCTTCATTATTATTTGCAACACCTTCCTGAAGAAGATTATATTTCCTTGCCTTGACGATGCCAAGCTTGGACACGAGATTTCCTCTGGCCAATGAAATAATAGTTGTTTCTGGTTAGAAGCTGCAAGAGCCAGGGTATGGGCTCTATATTTTTATCTATACTCTCTTCCCTCTGTTGTGAGACAAGCAATGTTCCAGACAGAGGCTGCTCCATCAGCCTTGATCATGACATAAAGAGGACATGAGGAAGAGCTTCAGCTGACCCATGTTGGGCATGAAGCATGAATGGGAAATAAACCTGTGTAGTTGTAAGCCACAAAAGTGTCAGGATTGTTTGTTTGTTACTGCAGCATAACTATGCCTATCCTGACTAATACAGATGCCACGTAAAATTACCATATGAAAAATTATTTTTTTTGCTGAAAAATGTTAGAACATCACTGTACTAAATGATAGCTGAGTATAAACACTTTGACAAGGGAGACTTCGTCTTACTGTCCTATTGTTCTTTGTTTACTCCATGGCTAGCCTGCTGCCTGATACAGTGTAGGGTTATAGTAGGCATTTGGTAAATATTTGTTAAATGAATTAAATGAAAGTGGTTCTGGAAAAATAAATAGTATTTCCTGGGGACACTGTTGTGTTATCATTGTCAGCATCAACTGTACCTGTTCTTTTCTTTGTAAGTCTTGTAAAATGTATCAGTCAAAATCAATATAACATGCCCTAGAGTACCATAATTGTTATTATTTTCTTTGGCTAACAGGATATTTTGTATTCTATATCGAACATTTCAATGTTGAAAGTGCAAATGAAAAATAAAAGGAGCAAGCAGATCTGATCTCATGGTATCAGTTCCCCATGGAACTATCTTGAATCAGAACCAGTTATGGTCTGGTTAACTGCATTGGGCCATAGTGGCCAGGAAGGGGCAGACACAGAACCTGAACTTGTCATTAAGGTAGGTGGGAGCTAGGGAGACAGCCCAGCTGCAAATGCTGCTGTACATCTGGGATGTAAAACAGTCCTGCAGGCAAGCATCAAAGGCAATACAGTGGTAAAGTTCCTTCAGTGAGGATTGGGGAGTTGTGGGAAGGATGTTCCAGAAGGAGGCAGGCATCCAGGCAGTCAGACAATTGCCCCAGGATGCCAAGGGAGGCGATATTGGAAAGTCCAGGCAGACATAAAATATTAGAAAAGTCTATCATCAGTCTTGTCCATATAGTGGATTCCAGTTTCAGGGGTGGTGGGGAGGGCGAGTGCGTTGCTTCCAAAAGTAAGACAGGATTCCAGATCCAGGAAGACAGAGAAGAAAGGTACAAGGCAGGACTCAGGGCACAAGGTTTCAGAACTGAGCCAAAGGTAAGGGTTGAGAGTTAGGGTAACAAGAAAGGTGTCATGATGTCAAATCCTAGAGTTTGGAATTAGAAGACTGAGACCTCAGTGGGGCTCAGCTGGCCCAGGGGATCCTAACTATGGAGGCAGGTAGGCAGAAACCATAGACCAGGAAAAGCCTAACACAGATCACCCATTCCAGCACAGGGAATGGAGCTGTTAGTCTTTGTCAACCAATGATGCAGCTAATGCAGTGCAATGGATCTAACTCCCCCCAAAAGGAGCCTTGTAAGTGTGGCTTTGAGAAATGTGCTATAAGCACACAGAGACACACGCACACACACACAGAGCAATCCAGAATATTAACCTTACATTTGTTTGGCTTGTACCTATTGCCTGATGGGGGTCAATGGTATCCTGTAAATACACGGGATCCCAAATGAAAAGTTCCCGTAACCCTCAAAATAGCCAGTTCTCTTCCTCCAGGGCTAGGGTGGATGACCATAATCAAATGCTGTGGCTATCAATGGGAAGAGGTAGAGACTACAGAGAACCCTTATGTATCAGAAGGGGGCTACCAGCACTCAGGTCCAGCTGACTGTGGCCAAATTTTTTTTTTCCAGAAGGAGCTGGAATTCTCAGTTTTTCATGTTCTGCCAACAAAATACTTCAGCAGCTTGGAAGCAGCCTATAGGCACAAGTTTGATGACTCAGCATTAAAGGGTGAGAGCCTTTCTACCTTCAAGAAATATAAGCACCAGCCCCAAGATTTCCAAGGTTCTGAGGAGTCCTAGAGCCCAAAACTAAATGCTACTTTTTCATGTATACTTTTTAAATTATGGGGGGAAATTCGTGTATCATTTCTGTGATGTGATCTGATTGGGCAAAGCAGAACTTTGTGGTAGAAGTAATTAGTGTTCAATCATGACTATACCAGAGAAAAATGGCACTAATGAGGAGTGCATGTTATGATGAAGGTCAAGGGTAACATTCTAATTGCGGGTTGATGCTAAAGGCTGGAAACAGGGCATTTTGAATGACTTTCTGAACAAGGATGTGACAGAAGGATAAAACGTGGGTAACAGTCAACGAGAAGTACAACCCAGGTGGCAAGGGTCTTTCATTATCCCTCTCAGCTTTCTCCCTTAATGGGTACATGTCAGGGTTGAATAGCAGCTTACTACTCTTTTGAACCATCCAAATCATTTTTTAAAAGAAGAAGAAAAAAGAATAATTCATGTAAAGAGAGTCACTACTTAATAAAGCATAAGAGAACTGGCTATCTTGAGTGTTAAGGGAACTTTCATTTGGGATCCTGTATATTTATGGGATACCATTGACCCCCATCAGGCAATGGGTACAAGCCAAACAAATGTAAGGTTAATATTCTGGATTGCTCTGTGTGTGTGTGTGTGTGCGTGTGTCTCTGTGTGCTTATAGCACATTTCTCAAAGCCACACTTACAAGGCTCCTTTTGGGGGGAGTTAGATCCATTGCACTGCATTAGCTGCATCATTGGTTGACAAAGACTAACAGCTCCATTCCCTGTGCTGGAATGGGTGATCTGTGTTAGGCTCTTCCTGGTCTATGGTTTCTGCCTACTTGCCTCCATAGTTAGGACTGCTTGATGAATGGTGGACAAATCATCCTGTCATGTTTTAAACCCCATTTGAAAAAAATCAGAAGTAGGGTGACTGTAACCTCCTTCTTGACCTTCTTACCTCTCTTCTGGTTCTTCTGGGCTGTCTGGATCCTTCCTCTGATCGGTCAATCCCCCTCTTTATCTGTTGGGCTCTTGATTTTCTCTTTGGATTTTCATCCTGAGATAGCTCATGCATTCTTGGGTCCACCAACTGACTCTTGGCTGATGACTCCCAAATCTTTCTCTAGCTCACTTTTTCTCTCAAGGTCCCATTCCGGGATTAAGCTCAGAGGTTTTACTGCATGCAAGGCAGCTCTGAATCAAATCCTGGGTCAGTAGGGGCCCTTAGGCAAGCATTGAATGTCCCTGAGCTGCCACACCCGTGAAATGGGCACAACATAACTTCTACCGGTGGTTGAGAGTATTAATGATACTTTGTAGGAGTGCCAGGTTAATTGTTTCCTAGGCCCAAGGCCACTGGGTGACAATGCCCTGTTCTTTCCACACTCACACACTGCCTCAATCCCAGAGGGTCTTGTCTTCCAAAGTGCTTTTTTTTTTTTTTTAAGATTTTATTTATTTATTTGACAGAGAGACACAGCAAAAGAGGGAACACAAGAAGGGGGAGAGGGAGAGGGAGAAGCAGGCTTCCGGCTGAGTGGGGAGCCCGATGCGGGGCTGGATCCCAGGGTCCTGAGATCGTGCCCTGAGCCAAAGGCAGACGCTTAACGACTGAGCCACTCAGGGCCCCCCAAAGTGACTTTTTAACCTTGAGTTGTCAGTGTTGTCTTTCTTTCAGCTGTCAGGGATGGGGCCCACCAGGGAGTCAGGGATGGATGAGCAGACAGGTCACCCTGAAAAATGGGACAAGGCAGAATTTGCTGACAAGACAGATTGCTCAGAGAGCTTTGCGGGACTCTGCAAGTGCCAAGAATGGCAAACTTGCCCGGTGGCGCCCTGCAATCCTACCACATTAAATCGGAGCCATTTATTTCCATCATTAGGAGCAAAGTAAGCAAATGAATGCTCTGGAGCTTCCTTATTAACAATTATGACCAGCAGATAAACAAAGGCAGGGGAGCGAAAAGTGTCAATGGTGACCCTGGGGCTTCCTCCACCAGCTTTCACATTGCTTCCAAAAGCACACTTTCCCCTTAATAATGACTTATAAACCCTTCTGGAAAAGTTTATTTCAATGTTTTGATATGCTCTCATTTAATTTTTTAAATTTTTTAGGCGTTTCACAGAAGTGGGAGAGGGTCAGGGCGGGAAGGAAGAGAAAGAAAAGGAAGATTTGATACAAGTCTGGCACTGGGCTCGGGGTGCTGCATTCAGTATTTCGTTTTCTTGACTTAGGCTTATCTTTATAAGATCCTAGGTTGAGTTTGATCATAGAAATATAAAGTTGTAGAACTTCGTACCTTAGCTGATCTAATCTTTTGCTTCTACAGATGAGAGAGAAGTCACATGACTGGTCAGTGATTAGAAGCAGGACAAGCGGCAGGTCTTGCTCCCCTCACACCAGTCTCCCTGTTCATGTGACCCAGGAACATTTAGCTCCAAGGACATCGGTGAAGATAAGTGTGCAAAAGATGAAATTTTTCCTTCTTGTGCAAAGAAAGAAAATTTTATCTTCTCCATGTGTGAGCCAGTATGCATGTTCTGAGCCTGGTGAAATACACAGGTATTAAAACCGGTACTGAAATTTGTGCTGATTTTTTTTCTGATAAAAAAAGAGACATAAAAAAGATCCGTAAGTGAAAACTATTCCGTTTCTTTTGCTTATTGGACATTGTCATGTCTATGCTAGGTGTATGGAACCGAGGCAGCCATTCATGGCCATTAGGGGTGTTGACCCATCATTCTGAGATGGCAGCAGAGAAAGATGGAAAGATTCCAGGTTTCAGAGATGAATATGAAGAGGGACATTAACCATTCTTGGAAGTGAGATGCTTCCAGATTTCTTTTTATGTGAGGTATCAATTTTTCCTTATTTTAAAAGGCAATGCAGTCAGAGTTTTATATTATGCCAGTGAAAGCACCCTAAGGAGACTCTTTGAATCTCTGACCCATCATCTGCTAAAGGGACATAATGAAGGTATATTGGAGCTGGCTCATACTAGCCAATTGTTGGCATCTCTTCCCTATTCTACATTCAATCACATCACAGTGTTAGTTTCTGTGACATCATGTTGGTGGTTTGAAATAAGTCATGGTGGGAATATTTATTTATACCATAGAAATTGGCAAAAGGTACAAATCAGGGCTTTTTTTTTGGGGGGGGGGGAGTTGGTTTACCAGCACTGGTAAAAATAACTTCGTGCAAAATCATTAAAACTATTAGAGATAATATGTCTAAAGCATCTATTAATGTGCTTGCTACAGGTAATAGGATTTCACATATGGTGGCTATTTTTGTTATGTATATAGTAGTATAATTACCCCAGGTGAACAAAAAAGTTACAATACAAATGCATATGATTTCCCAGCATAGACGTGTGTGATAGGTGGTAGAACTGTATTCTATAGGTTTGAAACAAAATTAGTCCAGTTCTTTGATGGGTTAGCCTTTTGTTACCCAGGATATTCTACTTCCACTGGGACTAGCACTGAAGAGCTATGGTGTCAGATTTAGTCTCAGGCAGTGAACAAGCTAGCCAAATAACCTGTCTGAAAGAGAGGCTCTGTGTCATAATACCACTGGTGTCAATGCTGGACAAGAGTTGTGGTTCTGTCTATCAAAGAAGAGGGGAAGTGTTTTCTGAAATGCGGCAGGTAGATGTCTTATTTTGGATTTCCTGGAAAGGTCACTTCAATGGAAGTGGAATGGAGTGGAATTGTATGAGGAGTAAGACCTGTGGGAAGGAGAAGGAAGCCCAACTGGACAGAGGAAGCAGCTAAATTATGGTGCCATGGTATCCAACACTCAGCTGATCCCACAGAGGGGTCTGAAGCTGGCGGAATCTTTTAGAGCTTTACCCAAATGAGACCAGGACCAATTGTTGGATGTGAACTGTCCCTGGGGAGGAGGCATTGCCATGCCTTTGCCTTTGGCTGAGGTGAATCTCAGAGAGGATGCAGCTGTGATCCATCCATCTGCAGCAAACATTCTTGGTAGCTGGGGAAATGAGAGCCTTGGTTCTGAAGGAGACCTGGGTCGTGCATCACAGCATCCACCACAGTGGGATTGGGGTAGACTTTCCCATAATGTTTCTCTCTTTGATCCCTTCTGCATGTCAGGCTAGGCCTCAGTAATCATCCAGTCCATCATTTTCATTTGTTAGGTCTAAAATTTAAGAGCACAAAACCCAGCTGCAATCTCACCTCTCCTCATGCCTTCTGTAATACCCATCCAGACTGTTTATTTTCTTTGCAATAAGTATCAGTCCAAAGATCTTGGTTGCAAACAATAGAAACCAACCATGGATAACTTAGGCATTAAAGGAATTTATGGGAAGGATGGCTGGTAGCTCATGGGAGAAAAGTCAAGGGAGGGAAGACAGAAGAAATAATACTGATGGGAAATTGTGTAATTATACACCCTGCTAATCCTCAACCCACCTGCTCAGCGTACACATACTGCTTCTGAACACAGCTCCCACTGTAACCTCTCTTGTGGCATTCAATCCAATCACCAGTCCTGTTATATAAGGCTGCCACTGCACATCTAATGCAGTGGTATCTTTTAATGTATTTGCCATTCATTTGAGATTCAGAATCCTTCTATGAGACCTCAGCTGTCTGATCTGAGGCCATGTGCCCACACTCTCAGTGCCGGGGCTTGGGAAGAAAGGTGATCTTTCTGTTAGGACTGGCTGTTCCCTGCCCACCACCAAATCCACACTGTGGGGGAATCCAAGGACTAGGAAGGAAGTTCATGTGCTGAGTCAGAACAAAACCTGATAAACATCCACTACCCAATGCTTCTGTAGCAAGCGAATCGTATTCTTGCTCTACTGATAGGTATTTTCCTATGGGTGGTAGCCTAGGCGGCCTCAGGTCTTTTCACTCACATACCTCTGCAGATAGTGAGTGCTTACTCTAAATTGCACACCCCATTTCTCCCAAAGAGAAGAGCAAACTTTATTCCCCTCCATTAAGGTATGTTATAGAATATATATGATCTCAGAGTCCTGGGATGGAGCTCTGAGTTGGGCTCCCTGCTCAGCGGGGCATCTGCTTCTCCCTCTCCTTCTGTGCTCTCTCTCCCTCTGTGCTCTCTCTCAAGTAAAATAAATAAAATCTTTGGGGCACATGGGTGGCTCAGTTGGTTGGGCAGCTGTCTTTAGCTCAGGTCATGATCCCAGTGTCCTCGGCTGCTCTCCCTGCTCATTCTCTTTCTCTCAACTAAATAAATAAATAAAAATCTAAAAAAAAAAAAAAAAGAATAAATGTGAAAGATTTCTTAGTTCCAAGAAACAGACTTTTTCAAGCCAACTGAGGGTAAAGGGGCTTAGTGCTAGGAAACAATGCTACCATAGGCAAGAAAAAGGGTGGTTCCATCCATGGTTTCTTGTTTCCCAGAGTGGATTCATCTTTCTCTTATGGCTCAAATGGTCTCTGTTACTTGGCATTCCTACTTCTCCATGTCTTGGCTTATTCCCTCCTTCAGAGATTTGATTCAGATTCTGAAGGAAATAATCTCATTGATTTGGCTCCTTATTATTCCTCCAATGGGCAGGGCCTCATGGATCTTTGGCCAGGCTAAGGAATGAGTTTAGTGCCCACCCAGTTTATTCAATGATTACTCATCCATGCATTAAGAATCACCACAGCTACATTCCTAAACACCTCAATTATAATGAGATGTTGGGTGTGGCAGGTACCATGTCTGACATGTTTCAGGGTTCTCTAAGCATGACCTGAGTCCCCACCCAGTTCTTAGGAAGTCATTCTCACTTTTTAGGAAACAGAAGAACTATTAGTTAATAAGTGTTATGGTTTTGTGCCTGCTATTATGTATTATATACCTTATTGAATTCTTACATCATTTCTCTGAAGTAGGTATTACTCTTATTTTATATATGATGAAGTTGAGGATGACAGTGTTTATGAACCCAGGATAAGATGGTAGAGCTAGATTTCAAATCCAGAGTAGTCTTGCTTCAGACCTGTGTTGTTTTTTTTTTCTTTTTTTCCTACCCCAGGATACCTCTGTTGACACATTCATGACAATGCCAAGACTTTCCTGTCTTAGTTATCAATGGCTTTTTGAAGAAAATTTCCAGTTAGGGAGTATTCTATAGCAAACAGTTGAAAAGTAAAGTAGAATAAGGTAAGATGAAGCACTGGGGAGAGAGGTGTTCGCATGTTGAGCTGAGGCTACTATAGAAAAGCAGTCTTCTTTGACAGCTGGCCCTTCCAGTGGCCACAAAACAGCCTCATCATCAAGCAGTGGGGTGTCACTCCTGAGTGATGAAGAGAAACTAACTTTACACAGCCCAAGGTGGGCACCTCCATGAGTTCCTTGCTTTGTTTGCCCAAAACCATTTCACAGATAATTATAGTGATCAGGATCCTCCAAACAAAACCTCCCAGCATCTGTAATATAAAAACTTAAGTCCTTTTGGAGGTAGAACTTAGAGCACTTTGTTGTAATGGCCTCACAGAAAGGAAAGCTGGACCAGTCAGGAAAATTCAGTTAACTAAAGTCTAGCCCTTCATCAGCCATTCATGTGTTCTGCAGGCGGATGATACTGTAGAACCCAGAAAGTTGTTGGAAAGGGAAATGGGAATACGTACTAGTACATGAGCACCTAGCATCATTTGTAATGTTAATTCCTTTCCAGCTCTTTCTCCTTTAGCCTTTAATGCCAACCATAACTTTTAGTGTCTCTTGGAAGTCTCCCTGGGCTAAACAAGCCTGAAACAGATATAGATGATTCTTCTCCACTTCCTTCCTCAGCTCTATCTGCTATAGATGCTGTGTACTGTGGGCAGAGCTCACTGTTAAGTACTTACCAGATTTTGGGTTCAGTCAGCAATCCATTCTTGCTAGAGTACAGTGTTGTGATGTGGGCTATCCCAGTTTCTACGGCTACATAACAAACCACTCCAAAACTTAATGCCTTAAAACATCAACATATTTATTTCAATCATGAATATGAATTCAAATAGGGCTCAGCAGGGTCAGCTTATCTCTGCTGCACTTGGTGTCAACTGTAATAGTTTGAAGGCCGGGGGCTGTAATCATTTGGAGGATCACTCACTCAACTGGTGGTTGGGCTGGGATGACTCAAACATTTGGAGATTCAAGTAGCTGGGGGTCCTTGGACATCTCTCTAATTCTATGCAGTCTCACTGTGAGGTCTTTCCAGCATGACAGCTTTGGGGCAACTGCATTTCTTCATGGTAGCTCAGGGCTCCCAAGATGTGTATTCTAAAGAGAACGAGCCAGGAGGAAGCTATACCCTCTTGCTGACCAAGCCTTGGAAGTCACATAGCATCACTATGCCATATTTTATTGGTCAAAGCAATCACAAGTCCCTACTCAGATGCAAGGAAAGGAAACCTAGACCCCACCTCTCAGGGGGTAAAGTGGTAGTCACATCATAATAAGTCACATCATAATAATAATGGTGTGTGCATGTGTGTGTGTATACACATTATATGTACTTTATATATCATATATCATATGTCATATATATATGTTGGAGTGGCTGGTGGCTACCTTTGGAA